CCGACGGCTCCGCGGGGGCTCCCGCACCCCCGCGGCACCGCCTCTCCCCCCGGCCCGCACCCGGAGCCGCTGCCTGTCCCGCGGGTGCGACACCCGCTCGCCCCACCGCAGTTCTCCCGTCAGCTAGGCTGGGCGAGGGATGCACATGTAACTCCGTTTGCTGCCTATCGAAGGGAGCAGCTCCTGCAGACTCTCCCTGCCTTTTCTTCTTCTCCTCCTTTTTGTTTCACGTTGCCTGACTCAGACGCCTTATTCCCTTCGCTAAGGCGGCATCTAGGTATTCTTTCAAACCGGTCTCCTCTCCTGCCCAACTTTCCCCCATTCCCGGGTTAGCATCCATTATGCGGCAGGAATTATTTCGAAATAAGAAAGCAACGTGTTGCAAACACTCCCCAGCCCATTTTCTGACACCTTTTGTTATGCATGCTCTTGCTGCTGGAGAAAATGCTAGTATGTGCACCTGCGAAAAAAACGCCTTCATGATGTTAACAGCAAGCTGGAGGGTATAAAGCAATAAAACTGCCAAATGTACCTGTTCCTATTGAGTACATTACCTACACCTATAAATAAAGAGTCCCAGTAGGAATTCTTTCCCTTTTCTTCCCCTTTCTCTATATTTTTATTCATTGTAGGTTTGTAAACGCCTGGATCGGGTTACCCTTTCGCGTGTTAAAGTGGAACCCTTGTTAAAAGCAGGAGAACAAGGCAAGACACTTACAACTGCATTCAGAGTTACTGAACCGACTCCAAGGGCTCAAGAAGTGAAACAACGATGAGAGGGTGGGTAAGGGGGCACAAAACATCCCAGCCGCCCAGGAAAAAATACATCCCACACACACACCCACCCCTGAAATAACCCAGCTGAACTATAAGCACCGAGAGACTGCGGGTTATGCCCTGCCACCGATCGAGCATCGCTTCGCATCCCCCTTCCCCCCCACCCCCATGGACGGTGCGGTATGCAAACAGGGGGCTCGCATCCCCCGGCTTCCCAGAGCTAATGACCGGGCTGTGGAGAAGCAAAACCCAAAAATAAATGAAGAAAAGGAAAGGGGAAGGGGGGGGGGGGGGATACAGGGGAGGGGGGGGGGGGGGGGGGGGGGAATCCCAGAGTGAAAAATAAAACCCCTCTAAATATTTCCAAAAGCGACGCGTTAAGAAAAAAAACCATCTGCAAAATCTAGAAACCAATCCTCAGGCAACGTCGCTGTGAGAGGCAGTGTCAGGACCTGTGCTCGGTCTGGGGATGTCTCTGGGCTGTGCGGGGTTTTGCAAGCGGCGGCTGCTGGTGCCGGTGTTGGTTTTCAAAGCCCGAAGCCTCCAGCCCGTTTCCCCATCTAGAGCAACTTTCGGATTTCTCTAGGCTTAGCGAGTTCCGCCGGGTCCTTCCTACCTCAGTCCTCTCCGGTGGGGTCTGTCTCTGGAGTTCATGCTTAGCTGGACGCGATGAGATTTAAGCGAGGGAAAGGGGAAAAAAAAGAGAGAGGGAGTGAGAGAGAGAGAGGGGAGAGAGAGGAGAGGGGAGAGAGAGAGATCCTCCGCCGTGCTGGATCAAACTTAATGTCTTTCCCCAGTCCATCTTTGAAAGAGAAGTGGTAATACCACCTGGATGTTCGGATATAAATCCCCTTGCAAATAATAAATGGATTAATAATAACAAGGTATGAAGTTCTTTTTATAGAAAAAAGGAGAGAATTGAAACTAAATGCGGCAGTTAGACAACCATTTTGATAAGAGGATAATTGAGGCGACACTGGTGTATAATTAGAGGATAATTTATGCTATATCCACTTTTATTCCACCTCCCAAAATAAACCCAGTCCATAATCATTACAGGCAAATTGTTCTGAATTTTATAGCAGCAATTTGAACAAAGTACTGCAGTTAATCATGGGAGATTTTTGTGTATTCCTGATTAGAAGTCTAATTGCCTCCTTCCAGAAAGTAAAAATAACTGTAAAACGACTCTATTTTTATCATTAACAATGTTGACAATAAAATAAAATCAACTGGAATTGTAATCTAAAGACAAATTTAGGGCGCAGGCACTTTTTTTTTTCCTTGGGTCGTTTATATCCTAA